CTCCAACAGCTGGAGGAGGCTGAGGAAGTTTAGTGTGTTACTCAGGATACGCAACAGCTGAGAGCACCAAAACCCGATGCTACAGACAGCAGTCACCTGCAAGAGATACATCCGAGAGGATCACCTGGGTACCGCTGCAGAGCATCTATTTATTTCTTATCCTTCTGTTATCGCAGTTACCAGGTATAAGTGTCCCTTCTGGTAAGAAGATGAAGAAACTTCCTGGAACCCAGGCCTGTGGCACAAGGAGATCCCATGCAAGTTTCTCCAACCTTTTTGTTAGTGTGGAAGGCTTGGGGTTCCCGCTGTCAATCACTCGACATCAGGGGCTGTTACCTTAGAGGTCAGGCCTTAACAAAAAAAAAATCTTAATGCTTACTGTTGGTGAAAAGATGGCAAGACACATTAAACTGCAACACTGAATGAAGATTCAGTACAAGTTCAAGTTTGATTATTTATATAGCACTTTTCACAGCGGACATTGTCTCAAAGCAGCTTTGCAGTAAACCAAAAAGTTTAAACTCAAAAAAAGAGAAAAAAAAATTAATTAATAAGTGCTGTATATGTCCCTGATGAGCAAGCCTGGGGCGATTGTAGCCAGGAAAAAAACTCCCTTTTTAAAAGAAACCTTGAGAGGAACCGGACTCAAAAGGGGAGCCCATCCTCATTTGGGCGACAACAACAGTGTGATTTATATAAACTATAGTATAAACAGATGATATAGTAGTATAAACAGATAATATTGTATAAACAGATGATGACTGTGTTAGGTGTAGGTCCAGGGGGCGCCGGAACATCTCCAGGTGAATCTGGTTGTTAGGGTGAGGAGTTGGTGGGCGGAGCCTCCATTGCGCCGGAACATCTTCAGATGAATCTGGTTGTTAGGGTGAGGAGCTGGTGGGCGGAGCCTCCGGGAGTCTCGGTATGAAAGAAGAAAAGAAGAGTGGGGCGGAATTAGTGTAGCTGCTGTTCATAACATTAATACAATTTAATGTAAGATCGCAGTTATTCGAGGTGTTAAGTATAGGCCTTGCTGAAAAGATACATCTACACTTAAACTGGGCGAGTGAGTCTGAGCCACGGACGCTGTCAGGAAGGCTATTCCAGAGTTTAGGGGCTAAATGTGAGAACGCTCTACCGCCTTTAGTGCTCTTTGCTATTCTAGGAAGTCCAGAGTTTTGTGATCTTAAAGTGCGTGTGTGCATTATCTGTTAGATAATGAGAGATATTGTCACCTCTTAACATTTTGGAACCAAAGAACGAGATATCAAGTCGCCGTCATGTCACTGATGGGGAATTACTACAAATACATAACACAGCCGTCTTAAATCGAGTCTCACTATGTCATTACGTGGAAAGCTTCCACATCCCCAAAAATATTGGAATCTGTATCGGCGAGACCAGAAAAAAATATCTGTACTTGGACCCAGTCTTAAAAAATGACATCAGAGCCTTTAAAAGTTTGTGGTCACTTTCCTTATTTTTGAAGGATTATTTTTTTTCAATGAAGTTATCTTTAATCAGAAATACACTCTTTATAGTGTTAATGTGGTAAATGACTATTCCAGCCGCAATCGTCTGTGTTTTGGTGCAATATCTACACAGTTGTATAGAGGCCCATTTCCAGCAGCTATCGCTTCAGTGTCTAAAAGCACAAGTGTTTGCTCAATGTGGCAGAAGCTAACAAATGATTAGAAAACTCTTGCGCATCATTTTAGCACAGCTGAAAAGAGTTTAGCTGCTTAGAGAAGCAATAAAACTGATCTTCCTTTGAGCGGGTGGAGTATCTGGGGAATCACATTTGTGGGGTCGATAAAATGCTCAAAATGGCCGGACATTTTTTTTTGTGTAAAACTCAAAAGTCGATTCTTGTTCATAGAAATTAAGGCTATTCCATGCGAGAAATTGCAAAGAAACTGAAAATTTCCTACGACGGCGTGTACTACTCCCTTCAGAGAACTGCATAACTACTGGTCATATCAAGACTCGATTACTGCAATGGTCTTCTCGCTTGACTTCCTTCCTGTGCAGTCAGACCTCTTCAAATGATCCAGAACTCAGCAGCTCGATTGATCTTCATGGAACCTAGGCAAGCTCACATCACTCCTCTCCTCGTCTCTCTTTACTGGCTTCCCATTGAGGCTTGTATCAAGTACAAAGCACTGATGCTTGCACACAGGACTACCTTCACAAACTCCTGCAGTCCTACGTCCCCTCCAGATGCCTCCATTCAGGAAATGAACAGCGTCTGCTGGTTCCATCTCAGAGTGGGAAAAAATCTCTCACCAAGACCTTCTCTCTCACAGTTCCGGGGTGGTTGAATTTTCTTGACTGTAAGTCGCTTTGGATAAAAGCATCTGCTAAATGCATAAATGTAAATGCAACCAGGCTCTAACCAGAGTAGAAAGAGAAGTGGGAGCCCCGCTGCACAACTGAACATAAATACCGTAGAGTATCTAGCTTGAGAGATAGATGCTTCACAGGTCCTCAACTTGCAGCTTTATTAAAAAGTACCCGCAAAATGCCAGCGTTAACATCTACAGTGAAGAGATGACTAGGTTATGTGTAACATATAAACTGTGTTATATATAAAAAGTGTTCTGGACAAACAAATCGAGGTTTCAGGTGTTTGGATCACAGAGAAGAACATTTGTGAGACACAGAACAATTGAAAAGATGCTGGAATTCTGCCGGAAGCCATCTGTCAAGCAAGGTGGGGGTGACATGATGTTCTGGGGTTCCTTTGGTTCAAATATTTACCACATTTGCTTTTGAAAATCTGTGGAAAATGCAAGTTTGTGGGTGGCACGGTGGAGCAGTTGGTAGCACTGTGGCCTTTCAGTATAAGGTCACTGGTTCGAGGCCAGAGGGTGGGTTCCTGTGGTGCTTTTACATGTCTTCCTCTGCTTGCGTGGGTGTCATTCTGGGGCTTCAGATTCCCCTTTACAAATGTTCTCTATTTCCCAAAAGAAACCTGTAGCTGTAGCATGAGAGAAACTGCATGCAGTTATTGTTTTGCCCTGTAGATGTCGGAGTCCCCAATAATCAGAGTCTTGGACTCAAGTGAGACGTGAGCTGGATGTTGCTTAATTCTTGAGCCTGTTTCCTGTAGACTGTGTTGATGACTGCTCTGATTGTTGACTGACAGGCTGAGCTTATGTGCACGCATTTCCGGGGGTTGGAGGTGGAGTTTGTCATTGTCTTCACACACTGCATTTGGTGTCACTGTTCAGCATCTTCTTTGTTTACCACATTGTTATGGATGTCCACCTGTTGGTTTGGTATAGTCTTTACAGTGTTTTATGGGAAGTTATTTTTGTTTTGTGTACAGTGTGAAAAAAAGCGTATTTCTGTGTTCTGTGAACATGGTCTTAGATATAAAAAGAGAGTTCCTAGAACCTTCAGTTTCCACAAGTAACACAGTGCATCTTACATTGTCTTTGGTGGCGAGACACCTGTGAGCAATTACTATACAACAGAGAAAAACCTCTGCTTACTTACACACCACCACAGCTCTAATTAATGCCTAGCAACCTGAAGAGCTGTCAGGATCAATCTGAACCATGCGCCATGCAAACTAGACCTGTTTAATAGTTTTTGCTGCAAACCTTCAATCTGTGCCTTACATAAACATGCTTCTGTGCCCATCGTCGCTGTTCTGTTAAGAAACACACTTCCACATTCTTTATTTTAGTCTGAAGGAGAGAATTTAAATGAGTTCTCAAAATGCTGATAGATTTTTTTAAAGAGAATTGTATGCTCCAGCTGGTGTCACGTGTTTCACTGAGCTGTTGAGAGGAATAAAGATGAAATATCTCAAATGAACAAGTTTACAGAACGCTGCTGGTAATGTGGTATGATTCAGAATTAAGAGCAAACTGGTGATGAATGAGTTATCATGGGTTTCAAGGTGTTGGCAGAGGAGTGATAAACTAGTGTTAATTTTCACCGTATGATTTAGTTTGTCTTTTTATCTCTTGAACCGTTTAACAGAATGGTTTTAATAGGTTTTGCGATATTCACAATGCTTTAAAATAAACAAACTGAGCAGAGAAATGGCTATTTCATACTTTTAATGGAACAGAATTGATCTGATTTATACATGTTGTGGCTACTGCTCAGGGAACAGAAGCTGCCTGCCCAAAAATGTATAAAAGGACATGTATTTCATAACAGTACAATGAGCAGTATGCTCTTGATGTGACTTTCAATGCTCAACTGCTCAACACAGTTTCCAATATTATTTATAATAGCAATTGTGACACCGCCACTAAAGTGACACCACCCCTGGACTCTGTTCATAGGTGTCCTTTATGCCATTTTTGAAGCATAAATATTTGAACCCTCTATATGTAAAGCACTGCACCTTTAGTAACTTTCTAAAAAATGTTTTTGAATCATATTTTTAGCCTGTGCACAATGCACCGTTCCTCCCACAGTGAAGCTTTTGCCACGGCCGTTTTGAGACGTGAATCGTGGGTAATGTAGTGCATAATGGCCACCAGTCCCAAGTCAAATAGAACGTCATGAAGTTGTTCAAAAGAGAATTAAGAGTTTTCTGTGTGTCACCGGGGCTGGAAAGGGATATAAATAAAGTGCAAAGTGCATTGAAGAATTCGGTGTAAGTGTCATCACTTGATCCACCATAAACGCTGCATGAATTGAGGAGGGGATTCCTGTAAACTCGGCTGCATTTCTGAGGTTTGAGCAAGTTTAAGAACTTGATAAGAGGAGTTCTGTGTCGAAAGGAAACTTCAATGAGACCCTGTGCTTCATCAGTCATTTGTTACCATGGCCCCTCAAAGAGATCACTTTCACACCTTTGCCACCCACTGCTCATTGTTTTCATCTCCCCCCTGAGCTCCGACCCCAGAGCTCACCTCCAGTACACATTGATCGAGAGCCAGGGGTACACCCTAAACAGGTCGCCAGTCCATTGCAGAAAAGTCACATTGTTGATGGCAAACATGAATCAGTGGCTTTCCACAAGTCAGACTGACAACCCCAGATGGGATTTGAACCCCAACTCCTGGCTTAGGAGGACAGGAGTTATCCATTATGCCACTGGGGCACCATAAATTGCCACCTGGACCTTAAATCAACATTCATTATACAAAAGCCTTGGGTAAATCAAACACTTGTGATCACCTAATATTCACATCTCTATGATCATTCCAAAATTCAAGTATCATTTCCAACATTACAAGGACAGTAGTTCAGACAGGAAGTAAATTGGGAGAGAGAATTGGGGAAAAGGTTGAGGCTGGGAATTGAATCCGGATCCCCTAGCACATCCATCCACACACAGTGTGTGTCATGCTCACTGTCCTCTACACCACAGTGTCCTCTACTTCTCAGACCCTTTGATTATCCCTGAACCCACTCACTGTCAGCAACACAATAATAACCTGCAATCCCTCACCTGATCAACTGGAAGAAAAGGATCTATTCACAAGCCCTCATTGTTGTGCTACTGCAATAGCAACATCGCATTGATTATCAGTTACTGCTTGGAACTGCTGGAAATATCAATAAATACTGAATACTTTCTGTCGTTGTTCAGTCCCGTGTGTACGTCACTGGATACGTGTGAATTAAACAGTGTGTTTCTAGTCTTAATTTAATTCTTGAGCTCTTCTGGAAGCTGGTTCCACCTGCGGGCAGCTTAGCAAACGAAAGAGGATTCTCCCTGTTTGGAGTGAACCCCTGTGGTACCTCCACCTGGTTTGACCGGTGTAATCTGAGATCCCTGTTATGGTCAATATATCTGCTAAATATTCTGGTGTGGAGCTAATTTGTGCCATAGATGAGCAGCAGAACATCAAAATGTGTTCTGAAAGTCACATGCAGCCCGTGTAGCAGAAAGCAAAGTCCTATAGGCTCTTCAAGCTCTTCATGCCACACAGGTGGGTGCCTTTCCAAATGTTTGTTGTTGGCACAGACAGTGTGGTACAGCTTCTTTCAAGCCTGGCCAGAGGAGACACTGACCAATCCTTCAATATCAGGAGCAGAGTGCAATAATGAGGGGCACATATGGAGCAGGGAGCTGGCCCTCATTAACCAGTCTGAAAGGGGAAACATCCTGTCATGGACTCTAGGCTCAGGGAGCAGCAGACGGGGCATAAATAGACACACTCGAACAAACATCCCTGACATGCTAACCATCGTGTTTTAATAACACATGCCAGCAGCCTTTTCAAAAACACACATAAAAGCCGATTTTACAAATGATTGACAGTTTGAAATGATCTGTACCTTAAAGCTAAAAAAAGTGTTTTTGGATTAACATATGGCACATCCTCATATTGCAGTTTTTATTTGTTCCTGGAAAATTGTTGTAATTCATTTTGAGAAGCTTCTCCCTGCAGAGCTAACAAGTGCTCCGCCTACATTCAAAGAACAGGTGCCTACTGTAGAAAACTTCAAGCTTCCCCTTTATTTATCTGTTTTTTCTCACAGTGTTTTATGTAATATGTAGTTTAAAGGGCCATAATGTCTGTTTCAGGTCTCTTCTGCAAAGATCATAAAAAAAACGCAAACAAAATGGACGTGTCCTGCTGAGCAGGGTGGGAAGGAGTGTGGGTGTAGCAGAATAGAAAGAGAGGTGTGAAGAAACCTAACAATCTGAGTTCATGTCCCATCTCCCAAAAACACAAACATTAGAGATGGAGAGACCTTAGAACCTTCCAGATCAATGCCAGGAAATTTTATATTTAATAGTTGATAAAACTCACACAGACCTGCATTTCATTGAAATCCTTCAAAATTGGAACACATTGCATTGATTTCAATACCCAGGTCCATTCTCCAGTTCTCCTTGCTACAAACCAGTGTTTCTATGTATTTGTAATTAATAATCAATACACAGCATCTTCCTGTCGGATAAGTGAGCTCAGACTCATTAATATTTAAGAGGTACCAATGCAACACTGAAATGGATTGGTACAAACAAATGTCATATCTGGAGAAACCTATTTTCAAGCAGAAAGTCAGAAATAATTTCCCAGTTTCCCTCAAAATTGAAGGTAACAGACAATAAAATTGTCTTAAACGATATTCAACGCTTGCAAATCTCGGAAATCCTCATAATGCTGGCCTTTAAGGAACCCTTTCACTATAAATAAATAACTTTTCACCTTTAGTAGCTGTGCCTCATTCCCCAGTAGGTATGCCAGAAGATCTTTTGTGATCAGAAGCTCCACCCATTTTTACAGCAGTGTCTTTTTCCAATGAAGAATCATGGCAAAAGAGAGACGTGAACAGAAGACCGGAGCTGTGCTATTAATCCTGGTTGTAGAATCCTGCAGAGAACGCAGCCTACCCAGGCTTCGGAGGTTACGTCTTGGCAGGATCTTCTGAATGCTGGATCAACAGAACGGTCTAGCCTCATTCTAACCACAGAGTTTTATAAACTCCTCCGTCTACTCCTTGCTACTTACAACAGAATGCATCACATTACATTTAGTTGGCTTTGTGTGTTCGCATTATTAACATAATAATAATAATCATGTTTTTAAAATAAAATCTATGATCTATATTTGTGTTTATATTAGTATCTATGTTAATCTTGTTTTGTTTTGATATTTAATATGTAATTATTAGAGTTTTAGTGAAATAGTACGGTCTTTGTGGAGCGGTGTGACGGAAGCGGTCTTGAAATAGACACCCGGAAGGATTCAGACTTTGGATTGAGACACTTTGGATTGATGGCTGTTAACCGCTAACTATCCACAAGAGAAGAAACATTTCTACCTCTTCCGAACATCTGTACCTTCATTAATGTTACAATTTTGTTATTTTAGGAACTACTATCTTTCATTCTGTTCTGAGTACTGTTTTAGGAGGTTATTTCAAAGATAATTTGTGCTCTGGGTTTAGTCAGATCATTTTGGGCAAAACGAATCAGATGTATTGAGCACTTTTATGCAGAGAAGCTTTTGTAGAAGAAAGAATGTGATCGGTTCTGATATAAATATTTTATTTGCGACAAATAAAATGTATTTGCGATTTAAATAAAGTTCAATATTTAGCTATAATGTAGAGATATGGAAAAAAAGGCACAGGAGTGGGCGGAACCTGGATGACCATCTACTCTCCCAAAGGTCCAAAGCCATAGTGGGCCACCCCTGGTCTACAAAGTCCTGCTCACACACCTGACACATAAAGGCAAAATGAATCACAAAGTTTCAGTTCATTCCTAAGAGACACAGCCAATCAACAAACCCTTATCCAATCACAGCCAACTCACAATAACTCCCTTCCCTTAAAAGACTGCTCCCTGCACCTCCAAAAATGTCAGATCTATGGTTCACACTTGCTTCACTGTTCCACGTGTTGTATCTCATGAAACAATACTCTCTACTCACCATTACACTCACCTGATCTCCATCGTCTCCTGCTGCGATGAGTGCCACCAGAAGGACTGGGAAAACTCTTCTTTTAAGACTTCTATTGTTCTTTCTAAAGAACATTGAACAGTGAACATTTCACATACTGTAAATATTTATAAATAAACCCAGGTTTGCAGGAGTTGTGTGTCTCTAGAGGCACTCCACTCCATTTCCTCTAAATATAAAAGTTATCAGATTGTATCACAGATATAAAAATAAACTTGATGAGAGATAACTCAGATAAAAGTGAAATATTGCTCTAAAAACAGACCCAAGATCCTCATAAGCGAGAAACCTTGAAGATTTGATTAATGGAAATCCAACGTTTGATAATCATATTTCATTTGTTACCAAAACGGCATTCTTCCACGTCAGAAACATTTTAACATTGTGGAAAATGTTCTCCTCAGCAGATGCAGTCCATGCATTCATGAGCTCTAGAAATGATTATTGTAACGTGTTATTAGCTGCTGTTCAGTTTCCTCATTAAACAAACTAGATCTAGTTCAGAGCACAACTGCTGAAAGTATGATCATATCACACCAATCCTCTCCTCGCTGCACTTGCTTCCTATAAAATACTGCATTGGTTATAAAATACTGCTGCTGCTAAAGCCTTGACCGCTCCAGCTCCAAACTCTCTGAGCAGCCTGCTCTCGCACTATATTCTGACGATCACAGAGTGCATGCCAAAATGTTAAAGGGGCCTTATTATGCCAAATCAATTTTTCTGAATTTCAGAGCATCTTTTGCTGTCAATCCCTCATCAAAAACAAGCCTATTCAGAATGTTTCAGGTATCGGGTTATTGGGTTCGGGGTTGGGTTAGTGATGTCAAGCAATTTGGGCATCTACGATGTCCAATGTGAAACACGGCGATGGACTGTTTTCAATCAATTTAAACGCATTGTTATTTCTACACTGTGATGGACTGGCGACCTGTGCTGGGTGTACCCCCGCCTCTCGCCCAATGTGTGCTGGAGACCCCCGTGACCCCGAAAGGGAATAAGCGGGTTCGAAAATGAATGAATGAATGTTATTTCTACACATTAATGGTGGATTCATTGGTTTGTGAACTGATGAGACTTACACATAACTCTTTGGTGGACTTTGGATTTTACTTATGTCCGTTTCCAGCCCGAGTGACACACAAAAAACTCTTGATTCTCATTTGAACAACTTCATGCTGCTCTATTTGACTTGGGACTAACAGCAAATATAAGGTGATTCAAAGACATTTTTTATGATTAATATAGCATTTAGAAATATACTAACGGTGCAGTGCTAGTATAGAAGGCTTTACATTTTTCTTCTGCCTCTACTGCTGCTCTGTTTTCTCTGTTTTAAATTCTCTGTTTCTAAGGTGATGGCTGGTGATGAGCATATTAAGATTTTCCTGCTCTAGAAACTCTGGCTTCTGGTTTCGTTGACTGTACAGCAGCTCTAACGGTTTCTCTCTTGTTTTTGTCTGTTTTCCAAGTTGTGGTGATGATTAGCTTTAGTTCTGGCTTGATTCTCATTGCAAGGGGCCTCCTTGGGTTTAGCCTCTTAATCCCTGATGCCTATTTTCAGAAAATCCTATACTTTTACTATTTAAGGCATTTCTCAGCTTTTATAAGGTCTAAACTGCAAATCTTGGTATCAAAATGAAGATCGGTTCTTGGGGAGTGGTGTGGATGAGTT